AATTAATACTTAAAGGGCTTAATATAAAGGTTCACTTTTTATAATCTTTCAATAATAGCTTAAATATATTTTATATATAATTCTTTATTTATAAAAAATATAAAGATATTATTTAAATAAACAATATAAAAAATATTTAAAATATTATTAAATACCTTTTATATATAGTTTTAAAAGGTAATAGGAACATTTAATAAACCTATAGGTATAATTAGAAATTTATAATAGCTATAATAAATATAAAAGGTTGTTTTTTATTTATTTCCCTTTTAAATATAAATATAATAGTAGGTATTTTTTAGGTTAACTTTTATAAATATTTTCGTTTAAGAGATTTTATCCAATAACTTTAAAATAAAGGGTAAAATATAACAATTCTTATATAAAATATAGTTAAATCCCCTATAATCCATATATAAGTATAAACTTTTATCTTTTTTAAAAATAAAAAGGATAAATACTTCGGTTAAATTAATTAATTTTTTAATTTTTTTAACCTTTAACATTTTATTTAACTACCTTTATAGTTCTTTAAGTTTATTTTATATTAAAGGGTATATAAAATAATAAGGAATTATAATATTTTCTTTAAGTTTAATAGTTAAATTGCCTCTTTTTAAGTAGGAAAGTATATTAGCTTTATTTATATTAAAGAAATCTATAAGGTTATAAAACTTTTATAAAATATTATTAAATTTTATATAAGATATATATAATTTTAACTCTTTTAATTAAATTAATTTTAATAATTGGATAATTATTTAATAATATAGTTTATTTTTATAAACTTTTATAAATTAATATAAAATAAATATTTTAAAGTAATAAGCTTTAAGTTTAAAAAATTAACAATTTATACCTAAATTTAATATAATTCTTTAATCCTTTAAGGTAATTTAAAATAATAAAATAGGGCTGCCTTTTAAATAATAATTATAATTAATAACTATATATATATATTTAAACTTATAAATAATATTATAATTATTAATTAATTTATAAATAACCTAATAGGCTTTATATAATAAAAAACTACTACTTATAATATATTATAATAAAAGGGTTTAAAAAGGAGCTTTTTTTAATTTATAATAAAGTATAAAAGTAAGGCTAATATAATTATATTTAATATAAGAATTTAAATTAATATAAATTTATAAAGGTAGTTTTTTTAAGCTAAATATATAAATTATATAAAGGGTATAAAAATAATATATAATAAATATATAAGGGGGTAGATTTAATTTAATGCTTTTTATTAGTTTAAAAGGTATTAAGCTTTTAATTTATTTCCTAATTGTTTATTATATTCTGGAAAATTATAGCATTTTATTAAAAGGGGGATATAAAAATAATATAATAACTATTATTTATTTTTAGCTTTATCCTACTTTTTATTTATTTAAAATTTTTAAATGGTTTATTTTTATATTATATAGCTTATATAGTTAAAGTTTCGGTTTTATTTAAGTTAAATATAGTTTAAAGTAATATAGCTTAATTAACTATAATTAAAATAAATTACTTTTTTATAGTTTCCTTAATTTGGTCCATTTCCATTATTGCTTTATAAATAATTTAAAGGAGCTTTAAAGGGAGGTTAACTTTTTAAAATAAAGTTATTAAATTAGCAGTTTTTTTAATAATTAAAACCTTAAAAATATTAATAATAACTATTACTATTATTTCCTTAATAGCTATAATTATTATTATTACTTTAATAATTATTATTATTACTACTACCTTTATAATTATTAATATAATTATAGTTAAAGCTATTATTATAGCTATTATTATTATATCCTTTATATTTATTTTTATAATTATTATTAATAGTTTAGCTATTACTTTAGCTTTGGACTATATTTATAGGTGGTTTACTATTGGTTTAGGTATTCTTTAATTTAGGCTTTTTTTTTCTGCAGTTAACCCATTAGTCCTTGCTTATTAATTCCTAGCGTTATTATATTACATTAACTATTTTGGTCCTGGTCTTCGGTAAGGGGTTATAGAAATTTATTAATTCTTTTTATAGGGGTCCACTTAATTTTTAATAATATAATAGGGCTTTTTTACCTTTATTTCGTTTTAAATCCTAACTTTTAATATTAATTAAATATTAATTAAAAAGTTTTAAGTTTTAATTAATATATTATATAGCTTTTTTAAATTATATATTAATATTAATTTATAAAAAGGATAATTAGTATAATAAGGTTTTGGTCCAATTTAAAAATATATTTTAATTAAACTTTATTTACTTCCTTTTTATATATTTAAGCTTTTTTTTTATAATTTAATATATATTTTTATAATTTTTATTTATTTTATTATATATATAAAGAATTTTAGGAATATTAATTTTAAACTTATAATTAGCCTTATAGAATATAGTTTTTAATTCTTTTACTTATTTTAACTATTTTAAATAGGTAAATTTTATATTAAGGGGGTTATAATTAAATTTAAAAAGTTAAATTAAATTAATTTTTTTAAAAAAGTAGCATTTATAATAGTATATATAATTTAAATATAATTAATATATATAACTATTTTAATTATACTTTATATTAAAGCTAAATAATAAAGGGTTATTATTATTAAAATTATCCTTTTTTTAGTTTTAATAGTATTATTAATTATTAAAGGTTTATAAATTATTAAGGTTAAAATAATGCTTTAATTTATTTAAACTTAATATTTTTAAATTCTTTCCATTTTTATTTAAATATAATTTAAAAGGGGTATAGGTTACTTTTAAATTTTAAGCAACCTTCTTTTTTTTAAAAAGTTATTTCTTTAACTTTATAATTCTAATTAAGAATTAAGCATTTATTTATTATAATAATTAAACATTAGCTTTATTTATTAAATTAGGGTTATTAGGAGATTTTGGTAATTAATTTTAAGTTTATTGTTTTTTTAAAGATAAATTATACTAATTTTATCCTTAAGCTATCGTTAAAGACTTTCCTTAGTTCAAATTTCCTAAAAGAGCGTTAACTTTAATTATTTATTTATATATAAGTATATTATAATTAATAATATTATAAATAACCTTAAGGGGAAGCTTTAAAATTATTATAAATAGGTTAAATTTTAAAGGTTAAGTATAATATTATAAGTCTCTTTAATTTTATAATAGGTATTTAATAAAACTAAAGCTTAAAAAAGGGAAGAATCTCCTTTAAAACGTATATAGGAAGGGTATATAATATATATAAAGTATATATACTTTAAGGGCCTTAGGATACTATAGTATAATAGCTTCATTTATTAGATTAGGGTTATTGGAAGATTTTAATAGCTAATTTTAAATTTATTATTTTTTTAAAGATAAATTATATTAGCTTTATCCTTAAGCTATTATTAAAAACTTTATTTAATTTAAATTTTTTAAAAGAGCATTAGCTTTAATTATTTATTTATATATAGATATATTATAACTAATAACGTTATAAATAACCTTAAGAAAAAGCTTTAAAATTATTATAAGTAGGTTAAATTTTAAAGGTTAAGTATAATGTTATAAGTTTTTTTAGTTTTATAATAGGTATTTAATAAAACTAAAGCTTAAAAAAGGGAAGAATTTCCTTTAAAGTATATATAGGAAGGGTATATAATATATATAAAGTATATATATTTTAAGAGCTTTAGGATATTATAATATAATAAATATATTTTCTTTAAAAAGTTTAATATTTAAATTAATTAAAAAGTATTTATATAATATAATAATAATAAAGCTTATAAAAAATTAATTATATTTTATTTAATATATAAATTATTATAATTATTATATATTAATATTATTTATTTATTATTATATTAAGTGTAAATTTATAATATAAAAACTTTTTTAAATTAATTTAATATAATTTTATTATTAAATTATCCTTTAAATAAAGCTTAAAAAAATTAATTATTTTATAAATTTATATTTTATTATATAAACTATTAATATTAAATATTTTTACCTTTAAAGATTATTATTAATAAAAGGATATAATTATTAATAATAATATATTTTAATATTATTATTTATTTACCTTTATTAATATCTTTTTTAAATATTAACTAATTAATTATTTTATAAATAATTTAATAATTATTATTAATACTTTATTTAACCTTTATTTTATTTATATTATATTAATAATTCTTTAAAATATTAATAACTTTTAAAGGTTTATATTAATTATTATAATATTATTAACTTTTAAATAATTAATAAATTTTATTAAATAAAGCTTTAATATTATAATAAAAAAACCTTTTTAATAATATTAATATTATTAAATATAAAATTTATAAAGGTTTAAAACTTAATTAATAATAATATATAGTTTAATTTAATTTAATTAACTATTTAATATATTAATTAATATTTTAAATAAGGTAAAAAAGATTAAAAGCTTTAATTTATTTCTTTTTAAGTTAAAATTCTATTAAAATAATATTATAAAATAGTTTTAAAAATATCTTACTTTTATATTATTATTTTAATATTTAAACTAAGCTTAATATTATAAATAATACTTTAATAACGCTTTTTTTAAAAAATTAAAAGTATTATAAAATTTAATATAAAAAGGCAATTCGATTAAATATAAAAAAAAGGTCAAAAGGTAAAAACTAATTATGTTAGGTATAGGGATTTATATATGTAAATTCGTATAAAAAGCGCGTAACGGGGTGGCCGATGACGTGGTGGCCCGGGACCCTTGCGATTTGCTTAGCTTCCGTAAAACCAGCTGTCCATCGCTGGTTATTTTAAATATATTATCTCGATATAGGTATTTCAAATTCTTGCCGCTTGAAACTCTTTGCGGAATTTACAGTGCCGTGCGGCTACATGATATTATCGGGCTCCGTCGGATAGCTTTATACGTAATTAAATACCAGGTAGTGAGGTATAATTCACTAGGCAACCTGGTATGTGTCTTAGTTTTGACACCCCGACTCCTTCTTTTTTTCTGTTTCTCGGGAATAAGATCGAAATGCATTCAAAAGGCACCAAATCTCATCAAACTGGGATGGAAACTGGGGCAAGATCATCCAGGCACAAGTTTGGCCTTATAGTTACATCATTCACCATTTTTCTCGTTGTAGTTGGCTACCACTGCCACCAAATCACCAACGTCGCGATCCCAACGCACGGGGAGACCAGGGATGGTCTTGACATCGCTCCGATCATTGGTGAGTGTCTTCCCTGATGAGATATATTGTCTATTGATACTCATCGATGTTGTCGCTCTTAGATGGCCACGTCGACTTTCCTATATGGATCAGAGCTTTTTATCAGAATCATATTTATCAACAAAACTTCACTCGGGAAGGTCCCCTATATGGACAGGTCGACTTTCCACGATTAGAAGCGGGTCATCTACGAGGCGCCTTTTGGAGTGTTTATGTAGAATGGTAGGATGACCCGTCCAAGATCTCCGTGGCAGTCTGCTTAAAAATGAAACAGTCCTAGTGAACCAAATGATCACAGTGATGCTGCTTACCAGGAGATAATTCATGATACTCTGCAACAGATCGACCTCGTTTATCGCTTGGTACGCGAGTTTCCCGGCTACCTCAAGCATGCTTTCACAGCCGCAGACGTCGAAAGGGAACTCAACGATGGCAAATCACAAAGAGTTATTTCGCTTATGGGGATAGAAGGTCTACATCAAATCGGCAACAGCGCAAGTATATTGCGCATGTATCACTCTTTGGGAGTGAGGTACGCGACACTTACGCATACCTGCCACAACGCGTACGCGGACAGTGAGGAACCGAAACAACCACTACACAGCGGGCTATCGAGCCAGGGTCGCGCTATTGTGACTGAAATGAATCGTCTTGGTATGATCGTTGACATATCACACACGAGCTTTGACACCCAGCGAGATGTCTTAGGTGTTTCACTGGCACCTGTGATATACTCGCATTCAAATGCCTATACAATGCACAACCATACGCGAAATGTCCCGGACGATAAACTTCTACAATTAAAAGTTAATGATGGAGTGATCATGGTGGCATTCTATCCAGAGTTTCTTGGGGACAATGCATCCTTGGCGCTAGTTGCAGACCACGCACAGTACATCGGAGAGAAGATAGGATATCGCCATGTTGGAATTGGATCAGACTTTGACGGCATGGCCGAAGGACCTACAGGGCTTGAAGACGTATCGAAATATCCCGACCTGATTCAAGTTCTACGAGATCGGGGCGTCAGAGAGACTGACATTCGCGGAGTCGCAGGATTCAACGTTCTGCGAGTTTTGAAGCGTGCAGAAGAAGTTGCGAAATCTCTAGATGGAATGAGGCCCTTGGAGGATGATGTGAAACCATTTTTTTAAAGGAAAGCGTGATATTGGATGCTTCTTGTATTATGGGTGGGATGAAACGGCTAAAAGATGAAAGTACGAGAGAGAAGGGGGTCAACTGAATAGTGTTACAAACACAGAATGGACGGCCAACTCTTAATCGGTTCTTTTCCTTTTCTCGTTCCCCACTTTCCCCTTCTCACTGATGGATCTAATGGATCTATTCTTGGCTATGGATCCTATAGATCCAAAGGATCATAGATCCAGTGTACGAAGGTACATTCTGAATAACTTCATGTTCATTTCCTATATCTATATATTGTTCACATTCATCCTGTATCTAGTCACTCGTTTCTAGTTCCTTAGCTATCAACTTACTTCATTGACTACTATTTAGACTTCTATCACTGCATAGTGGTGGGAGTCCCTTAAAATCTCCCTAACGAACATATTGTCTAAGATCTATTGTTACCTGCAAATGAAGAACTTCCGACGTACTGCCTTTACCTTTCAGGTGATGTAGAGCAGGTTCGTTACAAATAGCTCTACCCAACAGCCAGGGGAAAATTCTCACATCCCCATCATATTGCTCAAGGTGCTTGCAATTGAGGCGATTCCAAATGTTGGTGTCATAGTACTGCCTAGCTGTAGTTTTATATATTTGTTCTATTATTATATAAGGAGGGAAGTTCTAGTTTTTACCCCTTATTCCCTTTTTTAACGTTATATATAATGTTCTTTAATTTATATTATATATTAAAAATTAAACTTTTTTAATTTTATAATAATATTCCTTTCTTTTAAATATAATTAACTTTAATTATATAAGTTTAAATTTATTTATAATATAATTATATAATATATATATTATATTATTTATTTTAAGTTATATTCCTTTTTAAAGTAATATAATAATACCTTATAGCTTTATAATAAAATTTTTTATTATAGTAATTAATTATTTATTTTATATACTTTTTTATTTTTCCTTTTTCCTTTTTTATATTTATTTTATTACCTTTTTATAATTATAATATTTAACTTTATTTTTAATTTTTTAAAAAAGGTTTTTTTAAATACTTTATTTATACCTTTTTTTATTTTCTTTTATTTATTATTATTATTATTATATTAATATATATATTTATTTTTATAAATAAAAAGTTTTACCTTTATTATTTTTAAATTAACTTTAATATATATTATAAAAAGAGTAATATTATTTAAAAGGTAATATTATTTTACTTTATATATATATTTAAAGGTAATATTTTTTTAACCTATTATATTTAATATAATAAATATTATAATTTATATAAATTAAAATATTAATTATATTTTATTAATATTTTATTTTTATTTTATAATTTCTTTTATTATTTTTAATTTTTAATTATATTTTTTTAAATAAATAATACCTTTAATAATTAAAAACGTTTATAATTTAAATTTACTTTTATTTTAATATATTATTAATATTATTATTATTATTATTAATTTAATTATATTATATTATAAAGTTATTATTTTAATTATTAATTTTACCTTTATATTTAAAAATATAAAAAAGGAAGTTTATAAAATATATATAACGCATCTCCCACTTGACCTGGCCACCCAATTGAGCTGGCCACCCTTATAATCTATATAAAACCCCATTATTTCAATGTTTAATAACTTTACGAATACTAATTGTACGATTTAATGATTAGTACCGTTAAATCCGTTAATTAAAGGGAAATCCAGTGGTATTTTTTACTATTTTTTATAAAATTTATTAAGCGAGATATTGAGCAATACGCTAAAAGGGCGCTAGGTAAGGATTATTTTAACGCTTACTTTAGCGTATTGCTTAATAACTCCACCAATATAGGTCGTATGAATTAATGAAGGGTACCGTTAAATAGCTCTTTTTCTTACAAATCTAGTGGTATATTTCATTATTCCATACGAACAATATTCGTAAAGTTATTAAATTATCACGTGATTAGCGCACCGATGTTTTTTGTATGGGCTAGGGGGGTGGCCAGGTCAAGTGGGAAATGCGTTATTTATAAATATTAAAAAAATAAAGATAATATATATTACCTTTATATAATTATTTCTTTAATATTTATTAATATTTTTTTTATTTCTTAAAAGGATTATATTATTTATAATGCTTATTTTCATTATTATTATTAATTTACCTTTACTTTATAATTATATCTTTATTTTAATAATAAAAAAGAAGTTTATATTTAAAAAAACTTTTAATTATTTTATTTTTAATTTAAAAATATAATTATTATAGCTTAACATTTTATTAAGGAGAATTTTTATAATTTTTTTTTAATAAATTTTTATTTTTATTTTCCTATTTTTTATTTTTATTATGTTTTTATTATAATAGTATTAATATTTTAATTTAAAATTTTTTACTATTTAACTTTATAGTTATAAAGCTTAATAATAATAAAGTTATTAAAATTTTTAACTTTTTCTTTTTTATTTTTTAAATAATTTAATTTTAAATTAATATAATTATAATTAAAAAAAGTATAAATTTAATTTAATAATATAAATTTTAATCCTATTAGTTTTTATTATTCTTTTTTTAATTTTTTAATATTTATTTAATTTTACTTTAATTTTCTTTTTATTTAATTTAGTTTAATTTAATTTAATTTTAATTTAAGTAATGCTTTAATATTTAATTACTTTATTTTTATTATTTATAGCTTTTTAATTTACTTTTATTATAATAATAAATTTTTAATCTTTTTTTTTAATAAATTTTTAAAATAATTCTTTTTTTCTTTATATAAATTTATAATTTTCTTTTATATTCCCTTTTATATATAGTTTTTAATAATTATTTTACTTAAGGTATTTTTAATTAATATAATAATTTTAATTTAAAAGGGTTAAAATAATAAAATATTATTAATTTATTTTTTTAACCTTTAAAGTTTATTATTAATTTTTAAATTAATTAATAAAGGGTTAATTATTTAATTTTATATTTAAATCCTATACTTTTTTTTCTTTTATTATTTAAAATCTTTTTAAATAATTATTTTATTTTTTTTAATTTTATTATTATTTTATAAAATTATCCTTTTTACTTTATTATTATATAGTTTATTTAAAATTAATTATTTTAAAATGCCTTTTTTTAATAAATATATTAATAATATATAAAATATTAAAAATATTTTATATTATTAAAATAATTATATAATTATAGTTTATTAATATATTTATATTATTTTAAAGGGGCTTATTTATTTATTTTTTAATTTTAATATAGGTTAGCTTATTTTAATATTTTTTATATTAATTTAAACTTTATTTCCTATTATATAGCTTAAAACGTTTAATTAATATATATTTATATTTTTAATATAATATTTTTAAAATATAATTATTAATATTTTAACTTTTTTTATTACTTTTTAAATTTTATTAATTATATTTAATATAATTAAAAATTTATTTTATTAAACTTTTATTTTAATTTTAATTAAATCCTTTATTAATTTAATTTTTATAATAAGGTATTAATTATAATTTATAAAAAAAGGGGTTAGCTTTATAATTTTAAATATTTAATTATTTATTATAAATTTAATTAAAGATAATTAATTTATTTAATTATTTTAATAATAATCATAATAACCTTTTAAATATTATTTTATTATAATATTAATAATCTTTATTTACTTATTAGTTTTTAAATAATATATTATTAAAGTATATAACTATATATTTAAATAATAATTTAACTTTTTTAAAAGTAGGATATAAATTATAAGCTTTTATTTAATATAATTATTTTTAATATATTATATAACGCATCTCCCACTTAACCTGGTCACCCAATTAACCTGGCCACCCCATTAACCTATATAAATAACATCGGTGCACTAATTATATAATAATTTAATAACTTTATAAATAATAGTTATATAAAATAATAAAATATATTATTAGATTTATAATAAAAGGAGCTATTTAACAATACTTCTAATTAATTTATATAACTTATATTCATAGAATTATTAAGCAATATGTTAAAGTAAACGTTAAATTAATTCTTACTTAGCACCTCTTTAACGTATTACTTAATATTTCGCTTAATAAATTTTATAAAAAACAGTAAAAGATACTATTGGATTTTCCTTTAAATAATAGATTTAAAGGTATTGATTATTAAATCGTATAACCAATATTTATAAAGTTATTAAAGATTGAAATAATAGGGTTTTATATAAGTTAAGGGGGTAGCTAGGTTAATTGGGTAGCCAGGTTAAGTGGGAAATACGTTATCCTTTAATAAAGGTAGCTATATTTTAAAATATCTTTAATTAAAAGTAAAAGCATTTTAAAAGGTTTTAGCTTTTATATTAATTTAAATATTCTATTAATATAAAGCTATATATCCTATATATAATTTTTAACTTTATTATTATATTTTTAAAAATATATAAATGTTCCTTTATATAAATATAGCTTTATTTTATTATATAATTATTTATAAATACTTTAAATTTTACCTTTATTTTATTAAAGAAATATTAAACTTTTAAGTTTTTTATTATATTAATTAACTTTATTATTAATAAAGAATTTTAATATATTTAATTTATAATAATATTTATTAATTTATTATTATTAAAGGAAAATAGTTATATTAAAATAATATTATTATACCTTTATCCTATTTATTTATTTAATAAGAAAAGGGCTTTATATAATAGTTGGAATTATATATTAATTTAAATATAAAGAAGAAAAGAGAACTATTGTATAGTGGCCCTTTTTGGCCAGGTCCTTTATAGGATAAGGATAATTATGGTTTGTAGGTTAGGTGGCAACAGCTGTCCAAATTAGCAGATGTATATAAGTGTGGTGGACCGTTTGGTAGCCCTGTACGCGTAGGGTATATGGATACCTATTGCTATTAGTTATAATCTATAATTACCCCCCTTTAAAAAAAATAGCTGCATCCTTATAGATTTAAATAGTAGGCCTTTAAATTAATGCTTTTT